GAGGATTCAGAGGACACACATGGACTCGCCGAGTCACCCGAGTGCACTCGACGAGTCTGGTCAAAGTTGGACCATTGACTGGAGTGGACATCTGTTAACCTTGGGGGTTTGGTCAAACTGATTCACGAGAGGCCATGAAAGGGTAGAATGATCTTCTACCCATTCTTTAGAGATGTGAACATGAGGAGAGTATTGATTAGAGATATTATCATTTTGATAGGCGGAGGCTAGGTCGGGGATATCAAGCACGAGAGTTTGCTAGACATCATACGAGGTGAGCCTCCTCACTATACATTACCTAGAGTGGTATCTATGTGCAGACCGGAGGGTCCTATGTGTTATGTGTATGTTTGAGATTATGTGCATTGTGATATTTGTATGCTATGTATTATAAAGACCGGACCGGAGGGTCCAACGACTTACGAGGCCAGAGGGTCCTCGAGTAGACCGGACCGGAGGGTCCAACGATTTAGACCGGACCGGAGGGTCCAACGAGCTAGACCGGACTGGAGGGTCCAACGAGCTACGGGACTGGAGGGTCCCGCTGAGACACAGTGACCGGAGGGTCATACCGAGTCATAGCCTCGAGTGGCTTATGTGCTGTATGTGGTATTTTGGGGAACTCACTAAGCATTTATGCTTACCGTGTTATGTGATATGTGTTTCAGGTACTACCGAGGATCGCGGGAAGGCGCCGGCATGATTTGTACACACTGACAGAGGATTTTGTATTAGAGATTATGGGATATGTTCTACCGTGATAACATTTGATACACTGAGTTGAGATGATTTATATGAGATATGTTATGTTTGAAAAATGAAAAATTGTTTGAAAATTTACGTTGTTACACTGTTGGGTTTTTAACCATTGACTTCAATTTAAACCACAATTGACCATTTTATTTTTTAAACAAAACCTTTCATTTTTGTAAAAAATGTTTTACTTAAAAAAATATATAGCCGTTTTTTGCTTTTAAAATTCAAATTTTAAACATATATTTCAATAAATATAAATAACCATTCACCTTTCATATTTCAACACACATACATCACAACAAATCTCTCAAACCACTCCAACAGTTTATAAAAAAAAATATCGTATTCATCATCATCGTCATCTTCATCGGACGATGCTCTTGATAGTGTAATACAATCGATCATCTCCATATGTAATAGGGTAGAACAACATGTTAACAAACTTGAATCGATGAATGCACAACGTAAACGAAAAAAGATATATGCACAGACAGCGTGCAACAGCTCACCAACGTCTCATGCATAATTATTTTGACGAGCATGCTCTCTTTCCAGAATATTATTTCCGCCAATGATTCTGGATGCATGAACATTTGTTTATGCGTATTGTTGAAGGTGTGAGTTTAGTGTATTAGTATATGCGGCAACGCCCGGACACATGTGGTATGTTAGGCTTTGATCCAATTCAAAAATATATTATTGTATTTTGTATGTTAGCATATGACCCCCCCCCCCTCATGCACTAGACGAGAGTTTTAGGATGTCTTCACGTACCACACGAGAAAGTCTTCACGTGCAATAAAAAAATAATGTGACAAGATGCTATGAGTACTATCATTCCTTATAGCCTAAAGGGTGTGGTGGTTGTTTTGTCAATAGTAAAAATGTGACACATATGTGCCACATAGGATTTAATTCATTTTTGCCGCAGTTTGCCTTTGAGTAGGGTGTAGTTATATTTTTACATTTGAAATAAAAAAAAACTTAAATTTGCAATGATAGTTAGAATGGAAACAAAATCTCCAAATATTCACCATTTGTCATCGGTGAAAGTTTATCATTAAGATTTGCAAAAGTGTCGCATTAGCTTTGCCATCGGTAAAGCCCTCCCACACTGTTTAGTCTAACAGTAATAAAACTATGAT